AGGTATGTTTACGTGTTTGTGCGTGGTGCAAGGTTGGTCCAACGATTTGACCGCATCGATCGGTGACGTGCTACCCTGCCCCTACTTACGCGCTTTCTTCAATCAGAAAGAACTTCCGATAAAACCCTTAAAGTAAGAGCCAAGAAACAGGAAAATAAAAAGTAATTTTAAAATAAATTTTCATTAAAAGATATTACTTTTTGAGCTAAAATAACCAGCACAAAAAGTCATTAAGAGAATGACAAATGAAGCAATTTAGAAGTAAATTGTTAGTGTACAAAATGTTCTCGCCATCGATCGGTATTCGCTAAGTGTCCTATAATTTGAAAATACATTTATATAATGAGAGTTAAGCTTAAATAAAATTGTTCTTTTCAATTTTGAAATTGGAGTAATTCAGTGGAATAACTAGTTAGTAAATGATTAAATAAATATACCTACGTAGTTCTTATGAATGCATTTATGTTTTGCATCTGTAGTTCATTTTTTTAAACACTTTAAGTAACTAACCCCATTACATTTTCAGTCAGACAGTAATCTTGAAACATAGTTTTATAAACACGAATGAATGGGTATTTTGACTCAATGGCTAAACTGGAGATAGATGGTTGTTTTCAGACTGTCACACAGACTTTATCTAAGAAATTTACATTCCTATCCATCTTGCACATTTTAACTTAAAAAAAATTAACATACACGCAAATGCAGTCGGTAAGCAACAGCTATAATAAAAAAAAATATATAAATGAGCATCTTGAATATAGACCCTAGCGTAGCTAGAAACTAGTAGAGTTATCTTTTCAAACACTAACGTGAGTAAGCCATTAAACGTAATTAATAAATAATTCTATTATTTATAAATAACGTTGAAAGAGACTGACTTAAATCCCCTCTTTTTTTAAATCGGTTAATTAATATAAAAAAACCTTTTCCTAATTTATAAAAACAAATACTTTCATGCGATTTTAGAAAAAACCGCATCGAAAGTTGTTCTGCCTGAACGACGATACGAGATAATTGCGCACAAACATACATACGCTTAACTGAGATACTCCTTTTTATTTTAAAATCGGTTAAAAAGAGTGTTACACAAAAGTTATTAATACAAAAACAAATACATATTACTTTTACAATACATTTTACTTATCCTCATTAAAAAATAACACAACCGCGAAATATGTATGTATTTATATATTATGCATAATCAAAAGATCATTATCATTATCATTATGCGCTGTTCCCTATCATTATGGGTCGTCGCATGTTTGCAAGCTCTTCCATTCATTTTACTTACTATCTTATTTCACCCAGCTCTTATCAGCCTTCAGGGAAAATACTTGGCTTTTATAACAGGCCCCTAATAGACAGTTTCCTCTCGGCTTACTTGCTATTAGCACCACTTTCAGGCTTCCTGTAAATCCATTAGGTAAAATGCATTATTTTCCATCCCTCTCAAGCTGGTCTTATTACGTAACTTCGGCCCTTTTTATTCCTGGAGGGGTAAGCTATCAAGGCTATGGTGTACACTTTCAATGTAACTGGCACTTCGCACCAGCACAATGTAATAGTAAACGTATTGCAATTTAACTGACTCAATCCAAGACTCAGTAATGTAAAAAATAACCGAAAAACGTCTTAACAATTCTTTGCCCGACCAGGGAATCAATCTCAACACCTTTTTTTTTGTTTTTTGAGGAGGAAAGTCATCCAATGACTTTACCCGCTTTGGGTTAGGCGAGAGGTGGTGGGAGAGTCAGACTCTTACTTACCAAAAACCACCCCGTTTCTACTCCTGTTCTTTGAGCCGGAGTCCCGGCTACCCTCCGCGGCTCCATCCCAACACCATTCGACAAAAGTTTTGAAATATTTAGAAAGCAGAAATTGCTTGAAAAAGACATGTAAACTGTATATAATGTATTTCGTTTTCTAAAGTCCAAATCGAATCCCAGGAAACTCATACCCTACAGCCCTATTTATCCCTTACTGCTTTATTTATGCCCTATTTATCTATCACAATATATTCCAGATACCTTACTAAGTTGTATTATAAACCAACATAATGTCCGATATATCTGCATAACATAGTAACTTCAAAGTTCAAACTCGATTATATGAACTACATAACGAAGTTGTGAAACTATCAGGACTAATGTTTCGGAGCTGCGATGCAAACTTTATAACAGCTTTGGTTAATTCTTTTATAGAACTTGTTAACTGCAAGTTTGTATCGAATTGTTTGCATACAATATTGTTTAATTTGTTGTTCATTTTGGTTCGAAGGATTTTATACTAAGAGACTTATAAACTATTTAATAAATCATGCTATGCATCATTTTTATATAGGCTGCGCGACATCGCCGTGACAGCGCACTCTGCCAAGGAGGAAGAGTCCCTTTGTGACTCGAAACTAGTAGAGATTCTCTCAGTAATTTTTAGTTAATTCAGCATGTCTCACAATAGTTTTTACTATAAACACAAAAAATACAGTTAATTTATGCTATGCATCTATTAATTTGAAACCAAATTAGACAGCTTCTGTCCTTTGTAATTCTCTAATTAACTATTTGTATGCAAAATTTCAAGTACATTGGTTGAGTAGATAAAACATAAAAGCAAACAAATAAAAGTTTTCACATTTGTATTTGTTGGTTAGGATATCAAAATCCTTAAACACATGAATTAATCAGGAAACATGCATTGAATTGTAGCAATGCAATGGAATTTGTGCCATTTCAGTATTAAACCACTTACGTAGCACGTAGGCCCCGTAGCACATTCGTAGCACATTTCGTAGTACAGGGAACAATTAAACGCTACAAGAGAACTGATTGATTACTCATTGAATTCTTTAATTACTCAATGTCACTAAGCGTTCACATTATCTTACGATCCCATTTTTTTTCTCATAGTAATAGGAGTAAAACTGTAACAAGTGTTGTGTATTGTAAAAAATCTGAATTATTATCCCACATTCTTACTCGTTGTCTCAAAACATTTTAAAATCAAAGAGATTTATGTTGCAGTATCTCACGCGCTCAGTTTTAGAGTTTCATGCTTACAATGTAAAACTGAATCCGTTGCCACTTCGATAAATTACGTCTGACTGTATAGTCAGTTTTAATGTGTGTATGTGTGTGTGTGTGTGTGTGTGGTTGTTTACCATTCCTTATGTTACCACTGGTATTCTGTTATTATCATAAACTAAATAAGGATTATTTCAAAATAATTAATTACCGGTTTTAAATCGCATTTACAAAAAATTCCAACCTTAACGACGTAGACCCTCTACGGCGTAGACAACCTGCTACGGCGTAGAGGATCTACAACGTCGAATCTACTACGGAATGATAGCGCGCACTTCGATTCGCACTTGACCGCAATTTTTTTTTGCAACACTGGACAGTATGTGGCGTCTGTGTAGAATTTAAATTATGATTTCAGATATTGTGAAGAAGTTTTTCATTTGGCATAACTACATACGTCGTGGACAAACCTTTTTAAAAATGCGTAGGATTTGTTATGTTGAGCCGAATCCAAATTGGTCGCATGAGAAAGAAACACGCGTGTCTGTAAAACTGAAGATAAATAACTTGTATTAGTAAGTCGTTACCGGTTGTGCAGTGGGAATAGCATTCGGACAGTGTTTTGTATCAGCTACAGCCAGTACACTTGGAACATTATAAATAGAAAATAGAGAACACAATCGGGGAACTCGGCCACTGCTCCTGCTATTTTCGATCGGAACTTGTCCCGAAATCAAGAACACGGCCAGGTTACCGAGAACTGGTCGAGTATGAATGTGCGTTGTCATTGGGGGCGCGTCTTGTTCCGGAACATACGTGTCGGGTTACAACGGTTCGCCCACTTCGTAAGTCTTTTCATCTCAATTCTTTTGCAAAATCTTCGAACTACTACCGCTTACGTATTTCAGCTTTGTTATGCATGGAAATGGCTCTGTTTAATAAGAAATTTCCTTATAAAAGTACTTAAAATTCACGAAGAATACACGATAAGTAATCTTGGTACGAGTAAAAGTTCAAAAACCTTTAGAATATCAACGACGTTCATAAGTTCGATCAATTAGGCGACCGCAACTTATCTGAATAACAATGATCTGGCTCCTTGTTTCATAACCTTGACCTAGTTGCGAAAGGTCATTGACATCTGACTTTGCAATAAGTACCTACATCTTCTAATATTAGCGCATAGGTACATATTTCCTCGAGCAAAACATGTTTGACGTATTACAGCTAACTGGAATTACTTCTAAACAATAAATCGTAAAATGGGAACTGATGCAATATCTAAGTGCGATCTATATACTATGCAAGTGAGAATAAACATCATAAAAAAATGATATAGACTAGCATGCGAGTCTTAGTTTGTAATAAATCAGAAATCCAGTGGCGTGCACAGGTTTTCGAGACAGGGTAGGCAACTAAATATCGTATGATTAAACCCCTCCCCCCCGCCGGTCATACAATCATGCTCACACAAGATAGGTACATGTACATAATATATTTTGAAAAGTGCGTTCAAGAATATTGTGGTGTATTGTTTCGCCAAATTACATACACTGACATCTCGCGTATTTTTTGTGAAGTACTTCATCAGCTATTGAATAAGCCAACAAAACTTACAAATAATGAAAGATCTATTATTTATTTTAATAATGAAGCATAAATTTGATGAACCAAATTTCATTATGGAATTGTTAAGGTTAATCAATCTGGTCAAAATCATAATATATTACGAATTTAAGAGCGTAGGTACCTACATTATGTCAACAAACAAAACAATAACAAGCGCGGCCGGCTGTGGCCGAGCCGGCCGAGTCTATGCGGTACATTTGTTATTACTACATTACATAAATATTAATAATAAATTAATATGTGAATCAGTACAACCCGAAGTCTAAGTTGATATTTTTAAGAATTATCAAACAATAAACAAGAAAATCAAATAAAAGATCCATTATAGTACATATTTACATTACCTACCTTTTACTTGGGTCAATTCTCGTAACTCGAGTACACCTCTGCCTATGGTCATTACCTGAATCTAGTCCGATAAAGGACATTGCGAAATCTTACTGTTTTTACTTTCAACAAACACATAAAATTACCTATTATTCACACACACTTCACAATCGAATAATATAGGTACTTGTACTAGAAACTGAGAAACAAATACACTATTTGAAAAACCTACACATATATTTAACTACTACTACACATTTATGCAACTTTATGTTTAAAACTAATTCCTAATAATTTAAACGAAAACATAAACAAAGCGATCGCACATCACATGAAAACAATATGGCCGAAAACATTGGAAATGAATTGAAGTCATTACCAATAGTCAATTGAGTGTTTATTATAAAAAAAATGTAGCTTAAAAATTAAGGTAACGCAGCGTTTAATTTCAAAAAAACAAACGTTAATTTAGTAAGTCAAATGAAATTGCATCATCGTCTTAAACCAATATTTCATACTAAAAAACATTCATTCATATAATTTGAAACGTTGTAAATGGCGCCATCTTGACGTATCAATAACTTCCTTTTAACTTTTATAATAATAAAGTCAACTCCTCGTTTAAAATTTCTATAAACCGACAACGCGTAAAAATGTTAAACTTTAATTAAAACACTTGAAAAATATTTGTTAAATACGCATTTATAAAAATACATTCGCATTATATCGAACGAGTTCATATGGAATTATGTTTTCATTGTAAAACGGAACTAATTGGTTTACATTGGAAACATGTTTTTTTATTTAAGTTTTTATAGGAAGAAGGAAAGCATGAATCCTTTGGGTATACTGACAACACGGTCACGGTTGGCGCAGTGGCTAGGTAACTGGTTATCGACCAACGTGTCCCGGGATCGATTCCTATACGTAACAATTCTGTCGCGGAGAACCTAACGGGTAACCGGGGCTCCGGCTCGACGTGCAGGAGAAGGAACGGGGTGGTTTTTAGTCAGTAAGAGTCTGACACTCCCTCCCGCCTCACCCAGGCGGGGGCAGTCATTCGATGATTTTCCCCCCTTAAAAAAAAAAAAAAAAAAATACGTAACAATTCTGGTCCACTGATAGTTTTTCTGGGTCTAATTGTTGAAATTATATATTTGTAAAATCACCTAAAATAGAAAATTATACCAATAGGGGTACATGCCTAATTTTTTATTTTAATGTCCGTCTGGTAGAGTATTTTAAATTATTAGACACGTATTTTTTATATTCATACAGAAACGAATACTTTCGACGATATATTGATTTGAAATGTCGCGTGACGTCACTTCTATGTACATTTTATACGTAGAAATGACGTTTTAGCCCGCACTCCTAAACTTTGATTCGTTTTATCTAAGTATTGTTTTATTAGACGACAAAAAAATACGTGTCTAATATTTTTTCATTACCTAATTTACGGACTAATTAGATTTATAATTTTCATGCCCTGTCATCATCCCAATTATCGACGTAGTGTGACGTTAGATCATTTATACTATAGTCTATAATCTTACTCAATAAAAACACAGTATTTATAGCTTGATGAGTTCGAGAGATTAATGAGTTGAATAAATAAACAAGCTCTTCATAATATTAGTGTAACTACTTCAATTAAAGCATTATATTGACCCAATTTATAACGAGCATGCTTCATCACCACGCTATATCTCAATAATATTACGTGGACACATTTGTATCAAGAATAGGTGCCGTCCTTTTACATAGATCTCTGTTTGTGTTCTAGGTGAAACTTTGTTGAAGGTCTTTCGCAGCTTCGTAAAATAAATCAGAATATACATTGCAAAGTCGTATATTACTGTTTGGTGCGCTTTTACTGTATCCCTCGAGGACATAGCTATGACATTTGTCTGTTCACATGAAATGTGGGGAATCTTTCAAAGCGCCTCTCACTACCCGCCGTCAAGGGTCGGCAAGTATGCAGCGAATGTTTGCGAACAGTTCACAACTATGTAATTTGAAACATTCCTCGTCGGCTTTGGTCATTTATTTTGAACGTTTTGACCTGCTCAGTGTTCTGCTTAGACTTGCTGCAAAGACTAGAATATATTCCGTAAAAGAATGAAATACCAGCCGTGGGTGAGGTACCTTAGCATTTACCTCTACCTTCATATGTGTTAGTGATGGTCGTTGGCCGCCTCAGTCATGCTATTTAAAGGTCGTCAGTGTAGTGTTTTATAAATACATGTGAACTATTAACATTCTTTTATTTTTATTCAGAGCATCTGATAAACTACGTACTCATGTAACTGTCAAGCTCGTTTAAATTAGTAAACGTATAATAATAGAGAGACGCCGCGCGCTGAATGCCAAACCAAATAAGAATTCTCATTATCAGAAAGCTCCAGCATCCAAGGCGTATTGTCTATTATTTGTTGTGAAGCTCAACAATTGGGTCAATGCGACTCGATAGCTCACACAGTTGTATGTAATTATTAATGAACAATTATTTTCGTGCGCAATATGGCATCTTTCTCGTAAAACTGTTTTAATTTTAGGATTGCGTTTGTACCGATATGACTGTTGTTTAATAATAATACGGTTGATTTAACGCGTTCTTTGAAGCGCGGTATGTTCGGCGTCTACTCATCTTGATGCCCGATACATCACGACTCGGTTTATTTACCTACAAAGAGTTGGGCATGTCACATTTTTTCACAAAGCGGGAGGTGTTTACTGGCCACGTCGCGAGTTGACGCCGTGCCAAGCACGACACAAGCTATTTCAATGCGAACTCCACTCGGTCGCACTCACACCCCACCGCGCTTTATACTGCTAATCTCTCTATCAATCATTACGATTATTTTTATTTAGAATTTTTTCCTCATGAAAAATCACTTTTCACGCAACGCGTTCATGTAGGAAATATAGATTCGGTTCAATATGGGTCAATGTTAGTAAGCTTTCGTATAAATCTTTGCTAAGTATTTGTATCTGTTATTATGATTAATATTATCTGGCCTTAAATAATTTTATTGCGGTAATAAACAAATAAAACAAGAATCTAGTGGAGAGCGTGGATCTATATTTGTAGTAGTATGTTTGTAAAAGCGTATTTTGTATTAGTTTTGTTTCTTTGTTTTTATTTAATTAGGTCGTCACAATTCACTTACTACTACGATTTGGCATGGTTATCACAGCCAATATGAACAAATTGGCACCAGACACCGTGATCACGCGCAAGCTATGTCAAGGTTACATGGAATGCCTAATTCTAATTTATTGTGAATACTTCATTACTGTAAATATGTAAATATACTCCAAATGTAGATTAAATGGAAAACAGCTAGATCTAACTCTGTAGTTTTACACACATAATCAAGAAGTCGTTTTATATCTTTTATGACTTTTATGAGTAATTTTCCCGCTTCTTCCGCAGCTTTCCTTTATAATGTAGGAGGGGTTTGCGCTCTAAATCAAATCATACAATATTTAAATGTACTGGCCAGTGACGGACGTTGCAATCAAGGTGAAATAAGATTAAAATTCTATATTTTATCGAGTCTAACTAGATCGGCATACTAGAAAGGACACTATTTGGTAACTTGATTTAAATAAGGACCTAAGTATTTGATTTATAGCTCCGCAGTTTATCCGTAGTAATTAAATCTGTGATGAAACTAAACTCATTTTCGCTTCGAAAAGTAAATTACTTACTTAGACAAACTGATGTCTCTTTCCATAACAGATTGGTGAAAACAAACTAGTCTATTAATTACGTACTGAAATAATTTTTCATTATTTGCATTTTTCTTTTGTTCATGTTAAGTCGAAGGTAGTAAGAAGAAATCACCGTAGTTTCAGTTTTTGTGATACCAATACCTAAATGAAAAATGTTGATCACAATACCTAATAATATGTATAATTATGATACTTTGCTCGTGGGACTCGTACCTACGTATTTAACTAATGAAACAATCGATTAGGTAGAGAGAATTATAATAGTATGAAAATTAAAATAAATAAAGTACTAGATAAGCCAAACAAAACAAGTAGCAAGGAGGTTCCACCTAAACTTTATGCGCATTTCTCGCGGTCGTGGGTATGAGACTATTCCAGCACTTTATGTATTACTTCAAGAAGGTTCTATTACGTAGCTTAGGTACTTTATGTCAGGGTTACATACTTCATGCATAGTTCTCAAAGTGGCTACACGAAAAATCTGGGTCTTGCATAAACTTGTGTTAAGTGTGTACTTACCTTATATTGAGGAACTCTGGTTGTGAACATTCTTTACACGTTACTACTTTAGGACATGTAACGTTTCTTTAGAAGTGAATCGTCGTAGCGTTTTGCGAAAGGTCTCTTGAAAATGTGACATCAAAAGACTGTCTTAGAAGTGGTAGCAAAGATGTTCGTAATAATTGTGTTAATAATTTAAAGTATTTTCATAGAGTTTAACTATTAATAGTAAATCTAATTCAGTATGACAAAAACACAAACTGGGTTTTGTTTTTGTCATGTTGAGTGGCTACTTAGTTTGTGTCGGAATTTTGTCATCTGTTGGACGTACCAAACAACACTAAACAAACTTGTTATTTCATATTAGTTTCTTAATTGAATAACAATGTTTGGAACCTATTCAATTTAATGACAAAAGAAATAGAGATATCTGTACAATGATTTAATAATTTTGACAGCAGCTAATTCTATAATGGCTTGGCACAAATCAGATCTCTGTGTGGTCAGGATTTTAAGCGTTTCTTACTATGCTAAGCATTTTTTTACATTTTTAATAGGAAGCATGGGCGGGAACATTATGTGGGCAGGTAGACATAGCGGAGCTTGGAGCCAAATGCAGTAGTAACATGTTACATTTAAAGATCACAATGGTAATGACATGGTCCTATAAATAGGGGCGTCTGCGACCGCTAGAACAGTTCATTTCTCTGCGTGTTTAGTCGACGCAGAGAAATAACCCAGCCAGCCCGTCACCAGCCCGTCACCACCGTAACTATACCCTCGCCACCATGAGTGATGTAGGTACCTACACACAACCCCTCCCCTTTTCACAAATTTTACATAACCATGCAGACAAACGTATTATTATTTTCACTAGATAAGCATGCTTTATTGATCAGACAATAGTCCGATAAAACGAATGACAAGATTGATAACAGCAGCAAATTGATAAAAAAAAATCAGTATCAGTTCGCTTTATTTTCTTACATTACTCGTTAATAAACACTGCGCGTTGGCAGTGCAGTCAGACGCGATATAGATTGTGAAATAGTGTGTATGTCTGATAACAGTGCGGTGTTTGCTCCACAGCAGGAAGATGAGAAAAAGAGTAAGAAGAAACAGTCGCCAGTGGACGACCGGCCCGTAGTCCCAGCACCCAGTGAAGCTATGCTCAACAGTAAGTATCTACATACCTACAGTACATACCCAGTTACTCACACTCTTCTCAATGTATCGCCTACTTTTCAAGTTCCACTTACCACTTCGTAAATAACGAGCACCACTCAAAACTTCGGATATTATTCAAAACTAAATAACTCAGATAAAATATTTTTTTATTTCACAATTTATCTTTTGCTATGCGACGTTTCTGAAAGATTTACTTTAAGATATTTTTCCTGTTTCATATTTTAAAAATATTTTTATAAATTTAGTTTTGTGCGGTAGACCATAAATATGCTTTTTTATATCGTTACTGTTTTTATTTCAAATTCGCAATAAACTAACTTGATATTTTAATTGATGTTTACATTTTGTCGCCTCACGGATTGACCTGAAAATTGTGGGTTTGGGCTAATTGTATGATCGATTGATCCACCCACACTCGCTGTTCGGTGCCAATGTATTAAACTAGGCATTGTTTATCTTTGTACTGTTTGACATCAATCAGAACCATTGTTGTCACTTCCAGGAAAGTCCATTATATTGGTTACTTTTATTTCTTTGTTTACTTTCTTTTGCGAATGTTGTCTTTCATGGATTAACGAAATTAAAATGTTTGTGGATATGTCAACAACTGAAAATCTAGGTAAGTCAGTTGTCGAAAAAAATAGTTGTTTTTTCTTCGATAAAAGAGATAAAGCATGGTGGCCACGAAATCTTATCTTAGTGCAATGCCAAAAGGAAGTATGACGCACAATAAAGACATGTCATTGTCGTATTTACAAAGTGAGAACATACTATGTAGCAATCTAATGTTTGTTACATCCAATGACTTATTACAGAGCGATCTCATTAACAATGAAATCAAGTGATAAGCTAATCGTGACGTTGTTTATTACCAATTTATTTGTACTCTAATTGTATCAGTACAACGCCACGGATTGTCAATGCAGATATTTTATAAAAAGCATCTAATCACAGATTAAGCGAATTGATTAATGAATGTAGAGTGGGCGGGTAGATTTGAATACGAATGAGATTAATTTCGACAAGATTTATTAAACAAATTAGCAAATAGCTGCCACCGTTGAGATGCGATTAAAATAAAGCTGCTAATAAAATATAAGAATTTATTACTAAATCAATATTGTTTCGTAGTAACTTCAATTAATATTCATGATTGTTTTTGGCTTTGTGAGCCTAGCAGCCATTGACTACTCATTGCTTCGTAATCTGAGACTGGCACAGCTTTTTTGAATTTGGGTTTTAATCCGTAATTGTAAAGAGCAGACACTGAATCCAAGAAGTTCAGCCCTTCTTTCCCTCCTTATAAATACTAGTTGAAAACTTTTTTATTCAAATTATTCTGATCTAAATCAACATTCAAAAACGATTCACTGTATATATAGAGAGAAAACAATACAAAGATTTTGTTTCGGGTATCACTTCATTATAACAGCTGTATTACTCGGTTTTTCTGCCGATTATGAAATTCAGTCAGTACATGCGAAAATATCGCTGGGAAAACCTTATTCAATTTGTCCTTGAACACTGCATGCGTGCATGCACGTGTCAGACTAAGCACCGTGTCATACTGATACATATTTAATCGCGATTTCGATTTATATCAATAAAACCAGGTATATCCTACTAATATTATAAATTCGAAAGTGTTTGGCGATGTCTATACATCGATATGTATGTGTGTTACAATTTCATGAAAAAACTACCTTACAAATTTGAATGACATTTGGTGCAGGGATAGATATAATCTGGAATGATACATCATAGGGGTATTTTTTATCCCGGTCGAAACCGCTGGCAGAATCAAAGTCAAAGTCAAAAGTCAAAGCATTTATTTCAACGAAACCATAATTTGGTACTTTTGACACGTCAACAAGTACAAAATAAATAATAGTCTGTCAATCAGTCCGTTAGTGAAGCTAAGTGAAGCTAGGTGCTCATTCCAAAATGTAGATTCGAATGGAGAAGATCGAGCAAGATACTTCATTCGTTACTCCTTTAAAAAAAATGTGTTCTGCAATGTCTCCGCTCTGATGCATATTCCAATACTGTACGTATATGTGAGAACAATGCAAAGACACGCTTGACGCATTATACTAATTACAAAAATTTCAAAAAAAAAAAAACAAAACAAAAATCGATCAACATAATATATCCACTATCAGTGTTATAATATATCTTCTAATTGATCTTGAACTTGAGTGTTTAAATATGAAGTAGAGTAATGTGAATGTTCCATGAAAACAAAACAAACCATGGAGAATGATAAGGGATGACAGCATGTGACTGCGAGATTATTATAATTAAACGTGATTATCGAAAAGAAGCCATCGGATCTTTGATAACATATACAAATATATATACAGGCACCCTTTTTTTTAAGGGGGCAAAATCATCGAATGACTGCTCCCGCCTGGGTGAGGCGGGAGGGAGTGTCAGACTCTTACTGACTAAAAACTACCCCGTTCCTTCTCCTGCACGTCGAGCCGGAGCCCCGGTTACCCGTTAGGTTCTCCGCGACTCCGAATCGGCATCAGCTATTACCCTAAAGTATATTGATATGAACGGAAACTCCGAAAATGAGTATGCCATGTATGCTCCATAGGGACTCTTTCCAATGCTTGTGGACGTAAAGGACGCAAATTTTTGGAACGCTGCCGCTGTTAAAAGCATATTGTTGGTTTTCCAAAACCATTCCATTTAAATTTCATTTCAATTTAAAGAATCTCTGTGATTGCTCAATAATATATAATTGGGATGATGCCAGTGTATGAAAATTAAAAATCTAATTAGTCCGTAAGTTAAGTTATGAAAAAACATTAGACACGTATGTTTTTTTATTTTGTGGTATAATAAAATAATACTTAGATAAAACGAATCAAAGTTTACGAGTGGGAACTAAAACGTCAATTCTACGTATTAAATGTACATAGAAGTGACGTCACGCGACATTTCAAATCAATATATAGTCGAAAGTATTTGTTTCTGTAAGAAAATAAAAAATACGTGTCTAATGTTTTTAAATAATCTACCAGACGGACATTAAAGTAAAAATTAGGCATCTACCATATTAGATAGGAATACGGTATAAAAGGAGCAAGTATAATAATGTATAATAATATAATAATTTGTAAACAGAAATGTATAACACGCGTTTCCTGGCACAAGAATGACAAGAATCAAATATATTGAAGCTTAGATCACATGATGCGATTGTTTACACAATAACTGCAGGTACAGTCAGCCAAACTATTCGATATGCAGTCAAGAATATAAAGATTGACTCAGTACAGAGACACTTCATTGATTCGTTACTGAACCCACCAATGATGAAACAAAATCCTTATGTACCATCACTTGTTTCTGTTTACATTAAAGTTTAAAAAAAAGAAAGATATGACTTCGTTAAAAAGCATGCCGCTTAGGATGACAAAGACTATTTATATTTGTACTGTTTCAATATTTATTTTGAACGACCTCTCAAGGAGCTGTTTTTAATTCAGATAATGTTTTTTCTTAACTGCATACTTAATACCTAGTTAGTCTAACCGTACATGGAACATGTACGTACAATTCCGTTACATGTATATTGTATGAGTTTAATGTACACAAGACGAAATCCTCTTGCATGAGGACATTATCAATCAAGTTGTTATCAGTGAGTGTAAACATTTGTATATAATGTCACGGTCTGCTCCGCCTGTTGGCTATCTAAGTATCTACCTCTAGTGCGATCATTGAAAGGTACTACTTTAATATTACTATTCTATAGTTGTACGGGGATTAATGCGATGCTCTTTTGTATGTTTTTTTATTGGTGGATGAAAATTTTATTTTCAGTACTATTATTCAGACCCATTCTCTATGGCTGACAGTCAATTAGTTAATTACTTTATGTTAAAATCAACACGCAAACATATGCAGTTTTAGTATTAATTATAATAGGGTTTTAGTATTAATTATAATAGGTTTTAGTATTAATTATAATAATAATTCATTCATAACATACTTGTTATGAATGAATTATATCTCAAATATCGCATCATAAAGAGCATTAATGGCTACCTGTTATAATTATACACCTCAGTAATATCCAGTACAAATTTGTAATCGCCTTATTCAGTTAAGAAACAAAGTATGACGTAGATACAATGAACAATGTTATTGTATCCGACGATCTCCATCCTCGCTTCGTACCGCTAGCATCTGTACCAGGAACGTTTAAAATAATCATGTAAATCGAAGAAAATGAGTCGAGTCACGAAAAAAATCGCGTTTCCTAGAACATTGTATAGGTGGAAGATATTTGTGGAACGGTGGCGATACGCCGGGAATATCACTGTTTGGACGCACTGGTCATTATCACCGGCATTCCTATATAATCTGTGGTCTAATATAACTGGTCGCTAGGCGATTAACGTTTATTGATGGTTGCGCACTAATTGTGTTGCGTTTTGTTTTCTCTATTTTGATGAAAATGTATAAGATGTGCTAGTATAATAAGAAAGTATAATAGTTTAGTGATCATGTGAATAGTACTGCACTCATTCGTCCCCAATAATTCGTGATCGTTTCGAACCATTCATGACTAAGTATACCATACGTATTCAATAGTTTGAATTACATATTTGTCAAGTCAAATTTAAACCATATTTTGATATTTGTTCGCTAATTCGGAACAAACAGTTGCCTTTATGTTAATCCAGGTCATGGTTTAAGTGACTATCAAGTTATTTAGTAATTTGTACATCTTTCAACATTTCAAAGAAACCTTCACAATTCACATGTCTCATACTAAATGATGTCATCGTAGTCACTGATTTGATGTAGGTATCGTTCAAGTGATTCATTTACCAGTGAGATAATAGTTTTATATCGTTTTGGTATACTAAACAACTGATTTAAAATAACATTTAAGTAAGTACAAGCTCTGGAAATTATCTCAAACGAAATGAAAATATCCAACCAACCACATGTAACACATATCACACTTAACAACAACTTTTTTCAAATGACTCAATTTCAAAACACTCTAGTCTGCAGATGAGTTTCGTAATCCACACATCACAGGTTTTCGTAATGTGCTAATAAAATAAAAAGAACATGGTCTCCTGGTCTGATAAATGTCTGAGCTAAAAATATAAATGAAGAATTCGGAAATGATGTCAGAACTCAGAATAACGACGATCTCCTCATTTAGTCATCTGAATTACATTGGACAGAATGTTTGAAGCTGCTACTTAAGTACTTACTGGTGAAGTCGAAATTGATAAATCAACAACAGGAACAGCTCAATCTTGGCTTATAAAATTTAATATTTTTTTTGCACGTACGTGACATAAGAAACTCTGAACAATTCTTTTGACTACTTAATGATAAGGTATGGATATAACTTGTCTGATGTTTTCTTTCGCCCTTGGAATATTTATTATATTTAAGTGGTATAATTTATATTAGAGGTAGAGTAAGTACATTTCAATTTACAATTTATGCAGAATAAAATGTCTGCCTCGTTGGCTGAGTGGTCGCAAGTGCGACTGCAGGGCAAGGGGTCTCGGGTTCGATTCCTGGGTCGGGCAAAGTAATATTGGGTTTTTTCAAAAAATCTCAGTAGTAGCACGGAGTCTGTAATTGTGCCCGGTAAATTGAAATAGGCTCGCCCCCTATTACATGGGACTCATAACATAAATAGTGAAAAGTGGGTGTTACATTGTAACAATGTACACCTTTGCCTACCCCTTCGAGGATAAAAGGCGTGATGTTATATATGTAAAATGTAGAGCTGTATGCAGAACGTGCATAATATTAATCGTCACTGAGAACAGTTTTAAAATTGCAAATACAAAACCACCGAACCGCCAGTATTTCGTGAAACATGTTTGCGAAAACAAGAACAATGAGGCGGTCACGTCACACCGGCTGTCTATCTATAAAGAAATCCTTGGCTAACATCAATCTTCTCTTTAAAAAGTTAACGAGTAGTTTTACGTTCCATATATTTCTATTTCGACATTTCCATGTTTCATCCAGCGTTGTTAACGGTCTATCTGTCGGTCTGTTGATGTTTTCTTTTCTATAGTCTTATCTAGATAGCAATGGCTCAAAATAATTTAGTGCTGAGATAAAACAAGTACGCGTAACAATGTTTAATCTTTTGTCAATATTGCCTGGTATGTATATGACGAGACGAGACTATTTTAGTGAAACGTAGTGTAGATAGGAAAGGTACGATCGCGTCTAGATAATACTTGCGATAAACACGAGATGTGCCCGAAACACGACTAATAAAATATAACGAGCCTGTGAATTATTTATCGATTAAATAATATTACAAGTGCGATGACCATGAATAGGGGAAATGATTTCTGTGAGTATACTATCAGTGTTTTGTGCTTGATAAATAGTTGGTGTGTGACTGTTCCTCGTAACATTTGAAACGTTTACAGCACGTATTTACACGCGTTGTAAAAAGGTTCTTTTAACATTTTACCACCTTGTTTTATGTCGGTAAAATGTAGCGGTTTTATTTTAGCAGCCTTTCTGGAAATTCTGGTTTAATCTCAAATGTCTGCGAGAGAACTCGTAACTCAGAGAGCATAATTTCTGGGCGCATATTAAATAGTTTCGTTCTTTACTTTGCGATCTTAGAACTGACTTTTATACTAGGTTTTGTTCCTGCTTGCAATTCCACCGAAATCGTGATTGTGTAATGTAGTATATTTGTATGTACTATTTAGCATACACATACACCCTTGAAACACAGGTGCTACAGATTTTATTATTGTGTGAGGTGAAATACAAAAATTCCTGCTACGCCGTAGCGTGTATTTGTGCCTCGAATGTAACTTGCTACGGCGTAGCATAGTTACTTAAACTTTAAATTGCTACGACGTAGTATTTTTTCATATGTTTTTATAATAGTTTTTTATCGAAAATGCTTTCGTCGCTAATGTTAAATGTTCGTGATTTTCGAAGCTAAAGTGTTGACATTCCGATAGAGTATGTAATACTGGAATACAGGATAGTGACATAATGGCTTGAAGCTACAATATTTTAACATGGATGCTCCATTTTCTTGAAACTGTTACGGAACACTTACATCATAAGATGTTTTCTGTCCCACTTACTAAGTTGTTTGTGCTTTTTCAACTAAAACTACATTGAAAACTTGAGGGTTCTCTGAAATTAATTACGTATGTTTATCATAAATCATAAAACGATCTCACATTTTTAGCACCGATACAATGTAGACTTTCTTAGTAGTCCCCTGATTGAAAGTTAAACCACCAAGAAGAGAAATTTGAACCCGGATTCGAATATTTTAATCGGCGAAGTTATGAAGAATTTTGTTCAAAAGCATACACAATAATTTTAATTTGCCGAGTACAATTTATCTTCATATATTAAATAAATAATAACTCATAATAACTTCTCTATTTATAAACCTATCGTTCAGTCTTTATCCATTCATAATGATATCATAATCAGATTGGTATATATTTATTGTTTCATTTCCTTCAGATCTACGCACGGCATTCGGTCTGCTGGACCGCGACAGTGATGGCCACGTGACTCCAGCCGAGCTGCAGTTCATGCTCCGGAACCTCGGCATCACCGTCAGCGACGACCTCATCGGTGAACTCATTAAGGATGCCAGTAAAACTGGTTAGTATGTTGTTATTGTTGGTTATTATTGTATTTTTTTTTATTATTGCTCTTGTGGATCAATCATCTAAGAACTTTGTTTAGCAGTCTATGTTTTCCGTCTAAAAATTATGATAATGATCTTTGATAATATGGATTCAAGCAAGAATCCTCTTCCTTGTTCTTGCCACCTTTGTCAAATTGTTTCTTCGTTAGAGAGATCCTGGTTCTTAAACTCTAATCAAATTGATGTTGGTTAACTCAGTCAATCTATATCTAACTTGTAACTTACCTCCTATTTTTGAAAACTATTAGCAAAATATAGGAAGGTACTTCTTATAATTAAATTCGATGAAAGAACAGAATATATACGACGCAAAACGCAAGAATATAATTTGACGGGAACTTATTATTGAACAAAATTGGCCCTAAACCTGACTTTGTCAAGGTAGATGTTTGTTTCTATAATATTCAGTTGGCTAGCCAAAGCAAATTACGTCATAAATATCGCGTCCCACGCTTTGGTCGCATGCAAGAAGTCCATCATACTCGGTAATGGGGCGATGGGCGTAAATCGTTGCGGTTTGTTCGCAAATTACGGCGCACCGACACGATGAACGGTAGCCTGTCGATCAGACGCGGATTAAACCTGAAGACCGGCCTAGGCCAGCACCTCGTTTTTTTGCCGTTTGGCAGTTGGGCACGCGCGTCTCGCATCGCGCCTTTTTAACCTGGGGCCCTTAAGCACTTGCCTAGTTCGCTTTAAAGACAATAGAGCTCTGCTGTCGATCATTGCATGCTAGCTCGCCAATAAATACCTCCTATCCTACTCATACAGATGCATATGTAGCCAGTTTATGTTCAGAAAGTCATAAATTACAATGCAAAGCGACTCGTAATTGCCTGTCATTTATTCATCGCAGCTTTTACACAAAACATGGCAATCGCGTGATCTCATCAACGACTTTGTTTTCATTAAATATTATTTTCGTATTTTCTTTTCCTTGTGATAATACTATAACTGTATAAATTAAAAGGTGAAGGTTTTTCTTTCTGTTAAGGTAACGTCAAAAAACGTTACCAACAAGTTGTTTTCTTTAACAAGTTGATTTGACTTTTTATGCTTAAATAAATATTTATGAACGATCGTCGTATTTTATGACTCAATAACATTTGGGAGGCACGCACGCGGTATATGTTGAGGTTACGGAGTATTACGAAGAAGGTACATATGAAAATTTGAGACGATAATGTCGTTTATCTAGGCGCAATTTCCTTTGTCTAACCTTGTAGTGTGTTCGAGACAGAGTTCAAATTACAATAAACTTTCTAGAGGTAGATCTAGGTTAAAATAATTACAACTTTCAATTTTTAAGTAAGTAGGTATTATATACCTATTAGTAGCAACGGTCTATAGAGTATACATGTTATATCAGACAGGTCATAAAATGTCCACTATATGACTACACTATTTAGTTTTTACATTGAATATCTGCCCACATAGTGAGAGTTTTGTGACATTCAATAAATTATGCATATTATTACTGCTATGCACTGTTTTATGCTAGCAAGTGTTCAACTGTGAATGTCAGTTACAAAGAGCACGGAGCGGTAACAGTTAAAATTAAAATGTGTTTACATTATCCTGATATATTGCGTCATATAGTAATTGCTGAAAGAATGTTGGCATAGAAAATATATGAAAACTTTAGTAAAAGTAGACGCTTTAGTAATTTTCCTCATTAAAATACAAAGCGTGAGCAGTAAGTTTTATATTGCCGACAGCATGAATAAACAAAAACTGATTAAATCGATGACGCAGTTAATTCAGAGGGTTATTGTAAAATGGCGTGCGCGCCAAGTCGGGCGGCTTCCGGCGCGCGCGACCCTCAACCTGCCGATTGCCGGGGAGGTACCTAAGTACCCCCGTTACCTGCGCTTTTCCAAGTCGTAGTGACGTAATTGATAAAGTTCCACTTGATCACTCATCACTGGACTGCCTAATTGGCTATATAACTTGGTTCATTACTTTGCGTGTCCCGGGATAGGTACTCTGTTAACTTTAAGTATTGCAGGCTTGCGCCATAAGCTAAGTGATTGACGGCTTTATGGTGCCTCACAAAACTTGTAAAAATAAAACAAGACTTGACTTTATTGGTGATAAAGACCGCAATATTCATTCACTATTTATTTGCTTTACGAACCGCAGCCAGTTCTTCATACTTGTAAGAAGAAAACATTTACATAGTAGATATATGTTTGTTTCTATGTATGACGCCCGTTGCATATAGTTCCTTGCCAAATGCATAGTTACGTACTGACACAAGTAAGTACAATAAATAACATTATTTCCTTAAAAGAAAGATACATTTCTCAATAAACCATTTTCGCAGTCTTTTGTTATTTCCTGTGATTACTAATGGACTTATCAGATAATATGTAAAGATAAGTACAGTAGTACACGTAAAATATATTAAATTAAATTGAGACAGTTCAGGGCTTCAATGCCGCTATCATAAGAGCGGGGTACCCCCACGCCACGCCCGCTCTATCTACCATCGCACCCTGGTAATCTCTTGATCCAATCAGATTGTGTCCTAGCCGAGCACGAGGTTAACATTCTGAACACGATAGAAAAACTATCCATTAATGTGATACGATATTGTCACGTTCCCGCGTCGCCACTGATTTATGTGTATCACGCCACCGCAGCTAAATGTATGAAGATTCATGCCATGCATAAATATGTACCTACTATGTAGGCGAATAACCCGCTGCTGTCGTGTAAGATACCTACTTTAAATAATAGTCTACTTCGGGAGCAATTCTAGAAAATAAAGGTGCAGCGGACAGCCACAGGTGGTGCTAAATTCCCTCAATGTTGTCTACGTACCGTCTCTACCTCTAAAAGTTGCACATCTGGCACGCTCCGCATAAATTTGAATAAATTACCTCCAGCAAGAAATTCTAAACACACCCTCGTATTAAATATAAGGATAATTATTTTTGTTTATTAGCAGGAATGAACAATAATCTTAGTAAGCAACATAAAAATATACTGCGATCGTAAGACTGCCTACAATAATAAAACTTTATGAATGACGAGGTCTCACTTTATGGCTAAACATTGATAATGACTGTTATAATTAACTGGAATTAATGCTGTAAGCAGAGGGCGGACTGCTGACGTCATGACTTTAACGACTTTCCCTGCCACCGCGTTAATTAAGATTTAACGACTTTAAGCCCTTTTGTTAATTGTCACATAACATTTTGTTACATATTATTTGGGGCGATTTTATATTATTTTAATAATAATAATGGTGGGGTGTGCGTTTATTTTGTCGTAAATCTTTATCTGTGACCTGAAAAAGGTTTTCGTAGGAGGTCGGTGGTGTTGTACGGGTTGGAATGTCGGAACACATTACGAAAGAAAGTCGTTAAAACGTGTAACTGTTCATGTTTGTGCGGCTTTACGGCACGGGGGAGCACGGCATGCTCTTATTCCAGGATTATTCTGTAATATTTTTACATAATGTTTGATAAGCATGTTTTGCAACACTGTACAAGATAACGTTTGTATTTTTTCATTCTTTCCCTCTAGCATAATATCCCGTTTGGCTCTAAGTCTATTGGGAAAGTTAAAGTTATACTGTCAAAGTACCGTCATTCAACGTCAGTTTTCGACTGCTTTAGGGATTTTTAAATCAAATAGCATTTTAATCTGCTTGGAAATTCAACTGTAGGTTTTAAAGACATATGTACTTTGGTAATAGGTTATTTTACTATTGATGGATCTGAACTGAATAAATTATCCAATCGTGTGAACTTTACAGAAAATATGAAATTATGTTAATTGCAGGTAACGGTCTAATAGACGAGAATGACTTCATGCAGTGGGTGACGAAGATACAGGCGTTACAAGGGCTGGATGTCACGACGAGCGGCGGCGACTCTGAAGAGGAGATCACGAGAGATCTACTCGCAGCATTTAAGTGAGTACAGACACCATCGTTCATCCCTATTTAATTAAAACTAGCTTTTACCCGCGGTTTTGCCCGCGTATTCCTGTTTTATCCATTTAATCTGGATAAAAAGTTCTAAATAGGATACCAAATTTCATCAAAATCCGTTCAGTAGTTTCAGCATGATTGACGGATACCATACAAACAAGGAATCTTTCATATTTGTAATATCAGTGTGATTACTAACAGACTATCATTCAATAATTGGAAGTGCTCCCCTGGAGTAAGATATGTGGTGTATGTATGTATTATCATATTATGTCCCGATACTAACAAAAATGATAATTATTATCTATACAATTCCTAGTCCTTTACGAAGTCGCGGAGAACCTAACGGGTTACCGGGGCTCCGGCTCGAAGTGCAGGAGTAGGAACGGGGTGGTTTTTAGTCAGTAAGAGTCTGACACTCCCTCCCGCCTCACCCAGGCGGGAGCAGCCATTCGATGATTTTCCCCCCTTAAAAAAAAGTCCTGTACGAACCCAGTACCTACCTACCAATACCTATGTATGCGTACACATGACTAGTAGGTGGTAGTAGGTAGATTATCTATAGTCAATACCAAACCACGGAAACCTATTTATCAACTACATATTATGTAAAGTTTGACTGATTCCAATAAGGACTTTTCTACTTACCTACTTAATTAAAGTTTTGAACCTTAAATTCTGCAATAAAAAATAGGTTGCTAAAATCCATTAATTTTAAAATACTGATTTCCTTTTGAAATAATTCCAGGGTGTTCGACCGCGATGACAACGGGTATATAACGCGGGACGAGCTTCGAGCAGCGTTGGAGATGATCGGCGAACCAGTTACTGACGCGCAGCTAAATCAAGTCCTGGCACTAGGAGACATCGACCATGATGGCAGGATTGATTATGAAGGTAATTTACCAAGTACACAATTTTACAAGTAGAGTAGCATGTACCACAAACAGAAAGAACAGAAGTTGACGTGTCCAAACTTGATTGCAGTGCCATCTATGCAACGAATCTTTGACAATCAAGACGTTTGAAAGAGTTTAGTTCGATAGATACTTCTGTAGACTTACGTTACATTGTTACAGTGAGATATTACTACAAACACTTGTGTTTTAAATTTTCAGAATTTGTAAAGATGCTGTTGTAACCTGTACCTCGCTGAACAAGACCTCATTAGTTATAAAGTAGCGTAAAGATGGACGGTCGGCGACGAGTAGTACTGATCTGATTGCGGGAGGCGAGTGCGGCAACGATACCCTCACGATTATGGTAGTAAAGTTACTACCAAATATATCACCCACTTACAGATCATATGCAAGTACTTAATAGTCGGCAAATGTTGAAATTGTTGTAAATAGGAATAATTTTGTAATTAATAAAATAACAAATAATCTGTAGTTACTAATTTAGGATATTAATGTTACCGATGTATAATTAAATATATATTTTGCATACGTAATTTGTTTATCGAATATTATACTACCTACTTATGTAATAAAATGGCCTAAGTAAAACACGATTTATATTTTTTAATAAAAGACATCAAAACATGGATAAAGCTATTTATGTATACTTGAGAACAGTTTAGTGTAGGTAAAGAGAACTTCAGTACAAATATTTATTTTACTGCGGAATTTTAAGTTTTTTTTAATAAACTATGTATTTACTCTTAGCTTAAGACCTTAGCAATTTAGCGTATTCGTTATCGAAATACCAGCCTACCTATACCTAAATTCATTGCGATTACACTACTCAACAAATTTTCAACTTTTGATTTTATCTGAGGTCGCATTATGTGATTACTATTTCTTGCCACTAAAGTTATAAAAATATGCAAATATACACACACCATCACATCTCAGAGTCCAGATAAACATCCATGTCCGAAATCACGAATTTTCCATAATTTTATTGTAATTTTAATTGAAATGGCGTAGTTTTTTTGGAGTAGCTGGCTTTTCTCTTATAATCAGTAGTAGGGGTCTCTAATAAGGCTCCAATAGTAATCCGCTAGCATAGCAGGCTCCCATCTGCCTTGAAATCGCTTTTCAAATGCAGCAACATCTTGGTGAAAGCGTTCGCCATGTTCGTCACTGACGCATCCCATATTTTAAGGGGAAAAGTCCAAATGCGAGTGGAGAAAATGTAACTTAAGTGACATATTGCATCCCATTTTATAGTAGTAGTCCAATAAAACTTTTATTTTTTCGCGAAAATCTTCAGAGTCTTGTTACCAAGGAAATTGTTAGTGACATCGACAAAAGCCTTCCATGTTTGTTTTTCAATATTATTGAGAGCAGATATAAAAGATGGATCTTGAATCAGCTTTTTTATGTCTGGACCTACGAAAACACCCTCTTTAATTTTCGCGTCACTAAGCTTAGGAAACTTACGATTTCGGCGTAAACTCGCCACAAATATAGCAAAATAAATCAGGACTGTTAACACACACTCGCTGCATTTTAGAAGTCAGTTAATATACTAACAATTGCACTATGTTCCATTTGCAAAAGTAATAAGTTTCCGGACTACCCGCATTTTAACTTTTGTAGGTAGGTAAAAAAATAAAAAAATATTTATCCCTATAACCAGATGTGATATCGAAATAAAATGCATACAGTATTTTTATAGTGGTCAAGCTTATTATGAAATAATATGAATTGGGTCAGATATTTTTTAAGTGTTGAGTAGTGTTATTTCTTTCCAAAAGAAAACCAGACGTCCTTCCATATCCAAAAATACTTTTTGAATAGTTTTCATCGATCAATTCGAACGTTTGAATGCAATGTCTACTTACAAGAATATTAATATAATAATATTGTAATGTTATGGTTGTGAATGATAAGTTACAACAGATTGTTATACTTATGAATTAAAGTGGTATGAGTATTGATTATTTATTTTTTATGACGCAATTTGCACATCACTGTTGTGTTATTTTTTTAATCTGCGCGGGAAACGATTTCATTGGCAGCCATTTTCAACCGCGAAAATTATGAATACAAAACAAAATAAGGTGGTGTGAAAAGGTGCGTACCTTTAGCTGCTCCAGTAAAAGATAATTTATTATCTTTAATTTACCTATGTTGATTACTTTCTAAAAGTGTATCTTTTGTTTCAATATATAGAACGAAGTCTCTAAGTTTGTTGATCTTTCCAATTACCATAAAGGCACTTATATATATTCCTACACTGATTTACCTACCCATCAAAAATTCTGTGTAATGAAAAAATGAGAGTGAATAATACATTTTAAATATTTTATTTATTTCTGTGCCACAGTAGAAAACCAGATGTTAGTAATATTTTAATAGAATCCCATCAAATCAAATTAATCCATGCCTGCCATGAATTTGCCGATAAAATCGTATCGTTTTGGCTCAATAGTTGGATTCCAATGTCTGATCACATGAGACTTCTGTTGCCACGAACTCGTTATTTCTTTGAGTTCGATGTAGCCCTGTAACCATAAATCTGCTTAAGATTGGTTTTAAGTACCTAAATAACTACTTAGGCACTAGAAATAAAAAATCGTGTTCGAGAAAATCAGCTATTTCTATTGTAGGACACACAATATTATTTAGCTATTACCTTTTCTTTTGGGATAGGGAGACAAACAAGTAAACAGATCATATGAGTTATGACGGTAAGCAGTTCGTGCTCCCCATGGACACTAGAGTCACAAATGTAATGAGTTGTCGGCGTTTTGGGAAGGATGCCTGACAGAATCTTCGGTAACCTCACTGGCATTTCGAAGCACAACACAATATGAGCAACATTATTAAATTAATAAGCAAGTTCTTATGTTCATAATACTTATGTATTCTAAGGTAGGTAAAAGAGAATAACAATGTTTTACCTTTATCACCAGTAAATCGATGATTCGTACATCAGTGATGCAGGCGTTCCTATAAAAATACTCTCTCAACTTCCATCGACAGTCTTGTTCATTCTTCTCAATATCGAAATATTTTACTAAAAGTAGAATTTCATATTATAAGTTTTTATCGGATTGAATATTATTGGGTTTTCATTGATGAAATTCTCACGGACTTTGAACCTACACGTTAGGTACCCGAGGTCTATTAGGTAAGTGAAAAACTGGCGAATAGCGAACGTTGTGTTTGAAATAGTATAGGTAGGAATGCTTGCCCGCTCTGTATATACCTACGAGAAATAGGTAAATATTCCATCGTAACTTACTGATGTAAGGAATGTATCTATAAAACGCCCTGTACAGTCCGATCGCACGTCTACGAGCTTCTTTGCAATCTTTGGACATCAAAGGTCTAACGACCTTGTAGCCTACTTCACACATTATGTTGTTGCTGTTGTCAGAGAATTGAGAGAATTTTTATGATTTGACGTTTTCAAAATGTTTGTTGTTTACCTATCGAAAACGTCAATTTTAAATTAATAGTCAGCAAGGTTTTACTTTTTACTTATTATTCATTATGATTTAGGCTTAGGTTACTTATTGTGGATGTAGGTTTTATCAAATTATTGTTAGACTTAACGGATAACTGTCCTAAATAAGTTAAAAAATGACTATACCCATTGCTACAGTTTTTTGGACAAGTTTTAATATTCTTACCTACATATTAGTGTAAACATAAGATCAGATTGGTGTGAATAGTGGTTTTTAAATATGAATTAAACAGTCTATTACATTATGGTCTTCAAATTATGTGTGCTAGAGTAGGGAAGATACTTGTTTACTGAAATGAGACATTAAAGTTAATAGAAGACAAATAAAGGGTGCTCCAAGTACTAAGGCTAACTATAGTAACCTCTTTCTTACTATCACCTAAGGTTTATTGCTACCAAGAGGTAAGTACATGAAAAAAAAATTGGGTATACTAAACAAAAACTACATTGAAATCGCAACAAATATTATTTGAATGATCTATTTCTCAACATTTTGTTTATTTAACTTAGTTTATGATTTGACTATGTACATATTTCTATATTGAAATTGTTTATTCATTATTGCCAGTAAAGAATTTTGAAAGGAAATCTTTAGGTTTTGGTTCTTCAGTGGGCTTGAAGTAGGACATTACATGTCCTTTTTGTTTCCATATGTTTACTGTTTCCTTGAGCTCCATTTGACCCTGTAATAGATAATGGATCCATGTATTACCACTTTTTAACTCGTTGAGTACCGTCACACACACACACAGCACAATTAACCCATAAATCACCAAGCGGTCACCGGTGACCGCTTTCCACAAATATTACATTACATTATAGACCTTATTTGTAATGTTTAGAGACTACTTTTGTATGACCAAATTTAGGGGATGGATTTCAACGGGTTAAAGAACAATAGGTTGCGGTCACCGGTGACCGAACGGTTTTTAACAGTGTATGACAGATGACGGAGAGACAACAGAGACTGTTAGCTGATATTTTCAATGCCAGATGGTTTTATTGGAGAAATATTTTTGAATATTTTACAATTGTTCCATAATTACTAAAAACTGTCAAATGTCAATTTTTATTCTACAGTTAAAAGTTAACTGTTGATTAACAAATCAGCCTGTGGTAATTGGGTTTACAATTATTGATGACTTCAAAAAAAGAAAGAGGTTCTCAATTTAAACTGTCAAACAAGAAGCGGTCACCGGTGACCGCAACCTATTGTTCTATAATTGTGTCTATAATGACGGTACTCGACGAGATAAACTGTCAAACACCAAGCGGTCACTGGTGACCGCAACCTATTGTTCTATAATTGTGTCTATAATGACGGTACTCAACGAGTTAATCTGTATGTTTGTGTGTGATTATCTCATCATTGGCTGAACCAATTATGATGCGGTTTTCAGAAAATTATTTGTTACACTTAGTAGAAGGGTTAAGTATACAAATAAACCAACCCATATAAAAAGAGAGGGGGTTGAAGTCGGCATTCCTAAATGTAGTGTATGAAATAATTATTACCCTTTGAGTATGGAACCGTCAAAAGAAGTATTAACTATTAGGTTATAATTATGACTAATTTGATCAAAGAGATTAAGATCAATCATGTAACTCAAGCAATATATCCCCAAAGAGAAATAAATTAAATTAAAACTTGGGTTACAAAACATAAATATAAATAATGTTAATTTTCTTGGACAATAAAACTGTACACGTTTTGTACAATTATATTGCAATAACTACATAATTATATGTATTGTGGATGACTGGTGCTTAAGCTGGGCTCAACTCAAGGTCTGTATTTCAAGACACCAATTAATAACAAATGATATTGTTATTTTATATGGGGATAAATAATAAATATTGAATCAATTAGTTACCTTGATAACAAGCATATCAATAACCCTGACGTCAGTGACGTCTTTGTTTTTAAGGAACAGTTCCTTCAGCTTAGCTCGGCATTGGTCTTCACTCTTTGGCATGTCATAGTCCATGACTGAAATAACAAGTTAACAAAAGATAAAAAAAGCTGGTCAATTGACGACCACAATTAGGGTCTATTTACAGAAGTTTGACATCATCACAATAAAATATTTGCATTTACACTGTTATTATTGAAATATACAGTTGCCTAAGATAAGGTTTAGGTTAAGGTGCTCTTTATGCCTTTACTGGCTCTAATAAGGATACTTGTTGGAAATGCTGTGAAACCAGGGAACTTATAGAACATTATTTGAATACTAACTTAACCTATGTCACAAGTAACCATTGTTTAGTGTTTGAGTGTAATATAGCAACTTAAAGGGGACGATAATAGCTTTTAAAAGAAGCGAATACATGAAAAGGTTGTAAACATAGTACGGTTTGAAGCAGAACTGATGACATAACAGGCTGCTTACCCATGTAAGGGATTTGGCGATACCAAGCCTTGTACAAGCTCAATACTCGCATTTTAGCCTCCCCATGATTCATGGAAAGCACTGGCCTTACACTTTTAGTTCCCACTTGGATAGTTTTCCTTGCGGACATTTTTCTGGCTAAAATTCAACACTCGCGTCGCAAATTCGAAATGTTTTGATTTTGACAATGACATTTGACGCCTTGCTTGACATTGACAGTATAGTTAAAATGTTGCTAGCAAAGATCAAAATTCAATGAAAAATTGTAAATTGTAACTCTTACTCCTATTCATTCTAAATAGGTCTTTTTTAACATCCTTTTTAGGACCATCGTACTGACGTAACGAACGTAGGACAATACCTCACTCCACTTTATGCCTATTATATTTTTCTAAATAAATTTTAAATCCGTTTCCGAACAAACTATGAAAGCGGCGTTAATTTGATAACATCTTTGCCAACCGCCGTAATAAAAGGCATAGCGTAAGTTTAGAATATTATTGATCTATTAGAGGTACGCAAAATGCCTGATTCCGGAAGAGAAATAACGTCCCGTTTATATATATATAGCTTATAATAGCGGCAGCTGTATCTCCTATCTTTTTAATTACCCACCATTTACCCACCATTTTTATAGGTTTCACCTAGAAGTCTTCTGTCTTAACACGATTCGCAACCTCGGACTTCGGAAACTTAGATAAGCGGTCGATATAAGAGATACAAAATTTCTTTGGTTATATTCAGTTTTTTTATTTTATAAAGTTTGATGAACATTAAACATGATAGGTAGGTACATACATACAATATTATGCGCAACAAAATATTATTTTATGTGTTGGTAAGTACACGCTATAATCTAATGTACACACCATGCGGTTTTAAAATAATAATAAATTAAAACTATTGTCTTTCACAAAATTTTGTGACATAAATACCTAATATTAAATCTAGAACTAATTTTTATAAGGTCAATGGACATGTTTTAGCTCCGAATTTTGGTATTAGCTCTACACTGAAAGGATTAATCAAGTGGACGTCCTTCGTTCTGCCAGGCATATAAGTGAAGAATATATCTCTGCAAAAAGAGTTATAGGTATCAATATCAAAATAGAACACCATTCATCTAGAACAATAATTAATTTAAAAATAATTTGTTTACTTACAAAAATGCTTTGCTAGGGTAATAATCGTATTTGCAAGTAGACCACCAAAGACGTGTTTGTTCCAATTGTTTTATTCTATTTCTTGTAATAAAATCATTCATCTGGTAATCATGCTGTAAAAATATTTTGTTAGTTACAAGTGTTAATGGATAGTGCCTAAATAAGAGATGATAGTAATATATCGGGCTGGACTTTATAGCCCTATTTCCTGCACATATTTGCATGGAGGACATTTGCATTTAGATGCGCAACAAACTGATTTTCAATAACCAAATAAACTTCAAAGGCTCGTACACAAAACTGCGATGCGATTTCGCAACGCAGAAAATTACGACACGAATTGCTGCGATCTGCGATGCGATTTCGTGCGACAAGGCGTCTCCCAGGGTAACCATTCCTTCGACGACCGTCAACCGTACTAAACGTATTTTAAATAGAAAACTAGGCCGTGACATGGATCGTAAAGAGAAGTGTGCATTTTTGTTATTGCTTAGGCTTAGGAGATACAGGAAAAAGAAACAAAGAAAATTTTGGGAAGATAAGATTTTGATGCGCGATGGGAATCGATTCGCAATTTCTTGCGATGCGTAGAAGGAGCTCGTACATTTTTGCGATGCGGCCTTACATTACTGATAGCGACTATCTACTGTAGTAAATGAGTCAAGAACTAAGTACCAATTTCTGCACTAATTTTCGATGTGACCATTTCATGCTTTTTAACTGTTTTAAAGTGAACGGAATCTGTTTAGCGCGTGCTCTAAAGTCCATGTGCTTTAGTTCAAGCCAACGTCGCTGAGACTGCAGTATCATGCGTTCTGGAACAAGTAATTTTTAAATAGAATCAGCTCAAACTTTATTAACTAAAAAGCATGTATACAGCTACTAAAAATAACTAAAATAAAACATTTAAAATCAATAGGAATAATCAAATGAATCAAATCAGACTTACTATGTTTCTTTTCTGTCAATTTTCCTTTTACTCGATTCCTGGCCCATTGTTGAAGATTATTGAGCAAATTGGCCTCTGGCAAGTGAGGAATAAGCAATGGCGTGGTTTCCGCGACATCCGCCAAAAATGCCTGAAAAAGGTAGATTGTAGAAGAATCCAATTTGTACTACACTGTTTAGTTTTAGGGATAAGATAAAAAAGCATACCGAGAGTAGTTCACTCTCCTTCAAGCCAGAAGCATTTAAAATTGGCATAGACGGCTCAGGCTGTAAAGTGAAAAATAAATTAGATACGTTCTACTTATCATGAAGGATTTAATATTCTTCTTAGATAACCTCTGTGAGTAATGTGTTGTGGTTTATGGTAGACAGATTATTAAGGACACTAAATAAGTTAGAGTAAATCCAATATAAGGTTAGTATCTCTGTATCTCACCGTAGCTTCATTTGATCTCATAGCTTCTTCAAATGTTTCTTTAATGAAGTCTTCCACGGGATCTAATTGATAAATCTTGGCTTTATCGAACCAGAAAGATCCGTGTCTCGTGGATGGATAGAAATATTTCTCTTTAGGCCGCGTTCCAGTATTATACATGTCGTATAAATGCCCACATTTACAACGGGACTCGTCTAAATAGTCCACTACTGTGGACTCCCTGTAAATAGTTGAAAGAAATAAGTCCTTAGTCTTATATCCACCCAGCTCTATCTTATTTCTCCTCTAGCCCTGTCAGGAGTAAAACTAAATCAGGACCGCTGACGTGATTTTTATCCCTCATGACGGGGGATGGGGGATTGGAACTCTTACTGGCTAAAAACGGTTAGTCCGTCACTACCTCTAGCTTATTTATACATATACTACACTACACTGTTTTAAGATATTTTAAAGGATTACTTATAACTTATATTTACATTGATTACCTATACAATAAATTGGTATACATACTAGGGTAGGGACTAAAAATTAAAAGTGGATACCATTTGACTAAACAGTCGCATTCACTGTCACATCTTTCATACGCGTCTCTCGGGTACTTCCAGAAACCTTCAATGCACGTCACAACCTCCCCGTTAGATATAGCAATACCATCGTTTATGGCAATGTAACCCGTCGGCAATAGAGAAACATCTAAAAACAAAAGCACAGAAGGTAATTTTACAAAGAATTAAATACTCATGAAATCAAGTAGGTATATCATAATATTGATTTGAAATATCGTGTGGCGTCACGATTTACTACATTTTATTATAGGATAGCGCGACGTAACGACTTCCCACTTCTAAACTTAACTACGTTTTATCTACTTATTGTTTTCTCATAAGATAAAATAATAAAAAAAACAATGTGCCTAACATTTTTTCATTATCAAACTGACGGACTAATTACATTTTTAATTTACATACACTGTCTACCACACTATTATGGAAGGATTATAGGAGCAGGTGTTTGTTGTAGCTGCAGACATATGAAAAAACTAGGTATTTTTTTTTAAGGGGGGAAATCATCGAATGACTGCTCCCGCCTGGGTGAGGCGGGAGGGAGTGTCAGACTCTTACTGAATAAAAACCACCCCGTTCCTTCTCCTGCACGTCGAGCCGGAGCCCTGGTTACCCGTTAGGTTCTCCGCGACCGTTAGGTTCTCCGCGACAAAAAAGGTACGTATTAGGGTACTATCTGTATACTTTATTAAACTTACTAGCGAGCAGGTAATGCGGTCTTCCACCCGTAAAGCTAACTCCTGAGACGAGATACTGGACGTTTGAGTAAGGAGTTTTAAACCTATGCTTCGGTCTCAACTTTAACATGCGCAGCTTAAGAATATACGCCGCCATCTTTGGATCGGTGTTACCTGGAATAAAAATAATCATTTATCGAAAGTTTTTATATGTTTGCTACTCTTAGCTATGTTTTTTTTATATTTGATGGCCCGACGTTTGACCACTATCTCGCCTAGTAAGCGATGATGCGGTCTACGATAGAGCACATCGTCCGATAAGCAACCTATTCATTCGGGCCTTAAAGACACCCAGGTTATACACTTTAGGAAATTCAGACTCTCTAACGGGTTCGGTTTAAAAGAAAAGAGGCCTACCTTTAATTTTCATCTTAGTTTACCACGCAAAAAGGTACATTTAATGCAATTACATAGTCTACACTTAACAAAACTTACATGCATAGTCATAGTTTACCTAAGAAAGACGAAAAGACTTACGTAAAGTACTAGGTGGCTCCCAAAATTTGTAAGTGCAAGGTCTTTCAACTTCTTTCTCTTTTCTATTTCGCTCTTTACGTTTATCCAACTGTAAATATAATTACATTTTTTTTAAGTCCTGTTTTATAACCCCTGGTTATATGTTACAGTTTCGGTTAGGTCAGTTTTTTAAATGAATCTCTTAAAAAAGGTAATATATAAACTGTATAAGTGGTTGTACACGCTGACTCGCGGGCGCGGCTGTCGCGAAATATCAAACATACTAGCTACTTTCGCACAGTTCCAACCGCTATGCTCGGCTCCTATTGATCGCAGCGTGGTGTTTTATAGCCTATACCCTTCCTCGATAAATGGGCTATCTAACACAAAAACATTTTTTCAATACGGACCTGTAGTTCCTAAGATTAGCGCGTTCAAACAAACTCTTCAGCTTTATATAATATAGTATAGTAATGATTACTGCCTCGTTGGCCCGAGTGGTCGCAAGTGCGACTGTCGGGCAAGGGGTCTCGGGTTCGATTCCCGGGTCAAGCAAAGTAACTATTACTGAGTTTTTAAAAAATTCTTAGTACAGTTATAGCACGGACTCTTGTGGATTTGTGGGGACTCATAACATAAATTGTGAAAAGTGGGTGTTACATTGTAGGTACAGTGACATTGACACATGACCTTCGCAAAGAACAGGGGGATAAACAAGTACTAATTTCCTCAGAACAATGTCTCATGGATCTGAAGAAAAACTTGTGACTAATTATTCATACACTATTAACTTTGCTATACTGTCATCCCCTATTTTTAATTACCGAGTTTATATCCATAGTTGCCGCTCGTACTAATGTATTAAATAATCATAACAAAACTGTTTGTAAAAGG